GATAGCCACAACAGTGGGTAAGCCTCTGTACCCAGATCGACAGACTTCAACCAAAGAGAATGTCAAGGTTGCCAGGATATATATAGATGTCAACCTGTGTTGTACTCCTCCATAGAATATTATGGTTACCTTACCGGATGGCCAGGAACATTTAATTGACATCTCCTATGATTGGCTACCGCCAAGATGTAGCGGGTGTTTGGAACTGGGTCACAGTCAGATACACTGCCCACATGTTCTGCCAGAATCGGGGCCCGAGCAGATATCTTCTCCGCTGCCAGAGAACCCAATTCATCAGCCCAATATTAGTCTTTCACCGCCTGAGACCGCCAACTCTCCATCTAGATCCCAACCACAAATCCCACCACCGACCCATGAACCTGAAACGCTCCAAACTAGCTTTGTTGATCCAGGCCAGGCGAGTGAGCAAGTTACTAGCACTACAGAAACTTTGGGAGCCTCCCCTTCCAACAAAACAACTTCTCCTACCACCTCATTACCACCCATAAACCATCTTTTTCTGAATACCCAAAGGAAAAACAATCAAAACACTAAAAAACCAGACCAGAAAAAAACAGACAGCCAAGGTTTTACAGAAGTGAGAACGCAGGGTCGTGGCCGAAAGGCCACGCGAGGAAATTAGGTGATACAAGGATCCCCATGATTTTTGCTTGGAACGTTAGGGGTATCAATGCCCAGAATAAAAGATTTTTGACACGCAAGTGGATCTCGGAGAACAAACTCGTTTTTGGCGCTCTCCTTGAAACTCACATCCGAGAAAATAACTCTGACAGGATAACAAAGGCAATACCACTGGGATGGAATAATTACAGCCAATTTGTTGACGGCAGCACTGCGAGGATATGGATTGTTTGGGATGACTCGACCAAAGTTACGATATACAATGTCACTAAGCAGACAGTGACATGTGGGGTTGTTTTGAGAAATAACAATCTGAGCTTTACGGTGACAATCGTATATGCTTCAAATTCACTCATTGAAAGAAGAAGTTTATGGGAGGAATTGAAGAATCTTAGCAAATACCAGCCATTGAAGCAGACCCCATGGATTGTAATGGGTGATTTTAATCAAAGTCTCTCACTAATGGAGCGTTCTGATTACCCCTCCAATTCGATTCTGCAACCGGGAATGGCTGAGCTGCAGAGATGCTTAGTCGAGGCAGAACTCACGGACTTACCTGCTCGGGGAGCTTCCTTTACTTGGTGCAATAACCAAGAGACGGGGCCACTATCAATCAAACTGGACAGAGCTATGACGAATGGAGAATGGAGGCTGAAATTCCCAAGCTCCTACGCGGAGTTTGCGGCACCTGGACATTCAGATCATACCCCGTGTATTATCCACTTCCCGGATAATATATGTCAGGTACTTCGCCCATTTAAATTCTTTCATCACTTAACACTGCTTCCTCAGTTTCTTCCAACAGTTCATCGCCACTGGTTGGGAGCTGAAGTTGAAGGTACTCCACAGTTCCAGTTATGTCGATCACTGAAGCTATTGAAACGGCCGCTTCGTAGCCTCAATCAAACCAACTTCTCGCAACTATCTCAAAGAGTGAAAGAGGCTGAGGAGAAAGTAAAAAAAGCCCAGATGGATGTCTTTTCAGCGCCAACTCCAGAGTTGATCGGGGAGGAGAAAATCCTAAGACAGAAGTACATGCTTCTTGCTGCTGCGGAAGAAAGATTCTATTGTCAGAAATCGAGGATCAGGTGGCTCAGACTTGGGGATAAGAATACCTCGTATTTCCATCACAATGTTTCGGCTAGGGCAGCAAAGAATCACATTCACTACCTAGTTGATGAGCAGGGTATTCGTCTGACATCTACGCACCAAATCAAGGATCACGCTGTTAATTACTACACGAATCTGTTGGGGGAACAAGACAGCGAAGTACAGACTCCTTCGTTGGCTTGGCTGAAGGAATTAATCCCGTATAGATGGGAAGGAAGCTCGAGCATGGATCTTGCTGTGGTTCCAACAGAAGAAGACATTAAGAACGTTGTGTTTGCCCTTCCGGATAACAAGGCTCCAGGTCCTGACGGGTATCCGAAAGAGTTCTACACCGAGTGCTGGGAGATAGTGGGAGGAATGGTAGTTCGAGCGATCCAAGACTTTTTTCGGACAGGGAAACTTCTCGGCCAGATCAACGCAACTATTATAGCATTGATTCCAAAGAAGAATGAAGCATCGAGATTAGCGGAGTACCGACCCATTAGTTGCTGTAATACTATCTATAAGGTCATCTCTACGATCTTAGTAAAACGGTTACGACATGTGGCAGTACAAATGGTCTCCCACAATCAGAATGCCTTCTTGAAAGGGAGGTTGATGATTGAGAATGTGTTACTAGCTTCTGAGATTATCCGAGAGTATAATAGAAGGTCATCTCGGAGGAGCGCGATGATCAAGATAGACATACGTAAAGCGTTCGACTCTCTCAATTGGAACACCATCATTCAGTTATTGAGGGCCATTAATCTCCCACCGGTGTTTGTTAAATGGATTGCTGCATGTATTACCACTCCAAAGTTCTCGGTATCTATAAACGGCGAGCTCTCCGGTTACTTTAAGGGGCGAAAAGGACTAAGGCAAGGGGACCCCATGTCCCCTTACCTATTTGTCACGGCCATGGAAATATTTACTCGGCTATTGGATAGATCCTCGCTCGAAGGAAGGCTCATACCTCACCCTCGATGCCAAAGTCCTCTGATAACTCATCTCTCCTTCGCAGACGACATTATGGTCTTCTCCAATGGTGACCTTAATTCTTTGCAGGAGGTTAGGCGAATATTGACCACATTCAGTGACATCTCGGGATTACATATCAATCCCGACAAGTCTGAGTTATTCTTGGCAGGTTTGGAGGAGGGGGAAAAAAGATCCATCTCGGATAATCTGGGTATAGGTCTCGGCGAACTACCTGTTCGATATCTTGGAGTTCCTCTAAGTCCCGTTCGCCTCACAAAGGCTGATTTTCAACCACTTTTGCAGCGGATTAAGGCTAAGTTACAGGGTTGGACTAATAGATTCTTATCGACAGCGGGAAAAATACAGTTGGTCACCACTGTGGTATTTGGAATTGTAAACTCGTGGGGTATGACTTTTGTTCTACCGAAATTTCTTCTTAAGGAAATTGACAGTCTTTGCTCGAACTTCATTTGGCAGCACTCGGTTGAAAAAGCTCCTTGTCACCGTATTTCATGGGATAAAATCTGTAAGCCAAGACAAGAGGGTGGTTTGGGCTTGCGTAGACTTGATGAACAGAACACGGTGTTTAGACTCAAACTTGTATGGTTGCTCTTGAGTAAAGCAGGTTCTATTTGGGTCGCTTGGTTAAGGTCACACGTTTTTAAGGGGCGTACATATTGGGAGTGTAGTGATAACATTGGAGCTACTTGGAATCTGAAAAAGCTGATCCGAATGAAGGATCTTGCCCGAAAATTCTCAAGGGTGGAGATTCGAGATGGCAAGTCTGCATCTTTCTGGTATGATAGCTGGCTAGACATTGGTCCTCTCATAGAGTTCATTGGCATTACTGGGCCTCGGATTCTCAGACTACCTAAGTCTGCGAGGGTTATTGAAGCTATCCAGGATGGTTGTTGGGTTCTGAGAGGAAGCAGGACTCACGGACTTACCTGCTCGGGGAGCTTCCTTTACTTGGTGCAATAACCAAGAGACGGGGCCACTATCAATCAAACTGGACAGAGCTATGACGAATGGAGAATGGAGGCTGAAATTCCCAAGCTCCTACGCGGAGTTTGCGGCACCTGGACATTCAGATCATACCCCGTGTATTATCCACTTCCCGGATAATATATGTCAGGTACTTCGCCCATTTAAATTCTTTCATCACTTAACACTGCTTCCTCAGTTTCTTCCAACAGTTCATCGCCACTGGTTGGGAGCTGAAGTTGAAGGTACTCCACAGTTCCAGTTATGTCGATCACTGAAGCTATTGAAACGGCCGCTTCGTAGCCTCAATCAAACCAACTTCTCGCAACTATCTCAAAGAAATGGACCTGACATAGCTCTCTGGCGGAAGAAGGAAGACACCTACCAGCCTTGCTTTGTTTCTCGCAACACATGGGACCAAACTCGAAGACAAGCTCAACCCGTACCTTGGCATCGTCTTGCATGGTTCAACACCGCAATTCCGAGACATGCTTTTACTATGTGGCAGGTTTTACATCGGAGACTACCTACGACGGACAAACTCGCTCAATGGGGAATCCAAGCACCGAACATGTGCATATTATGCCGCAAGGAGGCTGAGTCTCAAGAACACTTATTCTTTTCTTGCGAGTATAGTGCTGCTATATGGGTTTTCTTCACAGGGTTGTTTGGGGAATCCCCATCGTTGGACATCAGGGAGTCATTGTTCTGGGTAAACCAACCCATGGTGCCTTCTAATGCTTTCGGATGCTTCCTCAAGAAACATTTAACGCAGCTGATCGTTTATGAGATTTGGAAGGAGAGGAACGGCCGAACTCATAGGAATCTCAAAAAGTCGCCCCAAGAATTGCGGCATAAGATCGACAAATCCATGCGTAATATCCTCATTTCCTTGCATAAGCCGGGGGACATTGGCGAAAACAAACCCATCCAACTTTGGTATCGCATTAGTTGTTAATCCTATTTCTTTTGCCCACTTGTTCATGGGAATCCTTGTTATTTTGAGAATCTTTTTGTGTATTCCAAACTCTATGTAAGCGTTACTGACTTTTTCTGGTAGTAATACAATACTCACATTAAAACCAAAAAAAAAAAAAGTTATTATGGTGTGTAAAGAGAATGAAAAAAAAAAGTTCCGTGGAACAATAAAAGCCACGAGACGAAATCGAGTGTGGATAAAACGTGGTCTCCACCCGCCAATCACATTTCAGCAAAATCTCACACTTCGATTCCTTACACATTTGCCCGGACCCGGATCCGGACCCGGTCCCTTGCCTTTTTCAACTGCACCACACGCCTGATTCGATCCAGAGAAATTTTCGTCTCCCATTCTCGTATATACATGTCTTTTCCTTCCTCTTCAATCTCTCTTTGTGTTGCTCCGATTCCAGATTCGTAGGGTTTGGTATTTTGGGTGTTTCCCTTAGAGAGAGAGAGAGAGAGAGGAGAGACAGATAGGGTTGCGGCTATGGCGGTTTCCAGTGCATTTGTGGTTGGTCCGAAGCTGGAGACCTTGTTTTTGAATCAACATAATTATCTTTCGTGGTCTTCTTCGTTGGGCCATTTGGGTCTCCATGGAGTTCCTGTTATTCCGAGGAGCAATCGGAGTCGGAAAGGACTGAGCCAGAGAGCGCGTTGCGAGCTTTCTTCCTCTGATTCTGCTTCTATGGCGTCCAGCATCTCCGCTCTCGAGCTGCTGAAGACTTCTGCCGCTGACAGTACGATTTTTTGCCCTTTTCTCTCTGGGTTTACTTGGTTTTCCGATGACGATTTTGGGCTATTCATGTTTTCCTGATTGTTTGGAACTTTTGTGTTTCGTTTTCATCCATCTTTGGTGTTCGGGCTACGAATTCGTAGTTTAGATTGCGCCCCTCTTTGTTGAGTTGAAAATTCAACGAAATCAAAACTTCTGAACTTTGATTTTGTTTGTGGAATTCGAAAATCTGTGTAATCATGAAGAGGGATGAATCGAGTGGATTTCAGACGGATTAATGCCGACCCCACGTACTTAGCTATTCCAGGTTCTGAAAACACTTTGTTTCATACCATAAATCTCGAGAAGCTTTTTTGCTTTCTTTCCTCTGCGGATCTTCATGATTTAGGTGCATTATATTGTTTCGAGTTTTGTGAAGTAGAGGACTCTGTAATGTGTATAGAATGCCATCTTTGTGATCGTTGTCTCACTGAATATCTTTGTGATCGTTGTCTCATGATTTGGGTGCATGATTTGTGTAACAGGGTATACGAAGGAAAGAAGCAGCATTATCGTGATCGGGCTCAGTGTTCACACGGCTCCCGTCGAAATGCGTGAAAAGCTTGCCATTCCCGAAGCTGAATGGCCACGAGCTATCGGAGAATTATGCAGTTTGAATCACATTGAAGAGGCTGCTGTTCTCAGTACCTGTAACCGGATGGAGATTTATGTGTTGGCTCTATCTCAGCACCGTGGAGTCAAAGAAGTCACAGAATGGATGTCAAAGGTTCTTCCTTTACCATATGCTTCTGTTGGCCCTTGAGGTCCTTGAACGATTTAGCCTACCGAAAATGGAGTTGTGGGCTGCTTTTGGTTGAAACTGGAAACCTATATTTAATTGTGTGCAAGTGTTTTTCATTATTGTGTTAAAATCATCAGCAAACGCTAAAGGATCCTCTTTATTTTCGTTTTTTTTTTCTCCAGACAAGTGGAATCCCAGTTTCTGAAATCTGTGAGCACCGTTTTCTATTGTACAACAAGGACGCAACCCGGCATCTTTTCGAAGTCTCAGCTGGTCTCGACTCGCTTGTTCTGGGAGAAGGTCAGATCCTTGCGCAAGTTAAACAAGTGGTTAAAGTTGGGCAAGGAGTCAATGGCTTCGGGAGGAACATCAGTGGGCTATTTAAACACGCGATCACGGTCGGAAAGCGTGTTAGAACGGAGACAAATATTGCTGCCGGTGCTGTTTCAGTTAGTTCAGCTGCTGTCGAACTCGCTCTAATGAAGCTTCCGGAATCTTCGCATGCATCTGCTAGGATGTTGGTAATCGGAGCAGGAAAGATGGGGAAGCTCGTGATTAAACACTTGGTTGCAAAGGGTTGCACTAAAATGGTGGTTGTGAACCGAAGTGAAGAAAAAGTTGCCGCTATCCGTGAGGAGATAAAGGGTATCGAGATTATCTATAAATCCCTTGACCAGATGCTTGCTTGTGCTGCGGAAGCTGATGTAATCTTTACAAGCACAGCCTCTGAAACTCCATTGTTCTTGAAGGAGCAAGTACAAGATCTTCCTTCTGTTGGTCAAGAAGTTGGAGGTAGAAGGCTCTTTCTTGATATTTCGGTTCCAAGAAATGTGGGTTCTTGTGTTGCGGAAGTAGAAGGTGCTCGGGTTTACAACGTTGATGACCTGAAAGAAGTTGTGGCCGCAAATAAAGAAGACAGGGTAAGGAAAGCAATGGAAGCTCAAGAAATTATTGCCGAGGAATCCAAACAGTTTGCTGCTTGGAGGGATTCGTTAGAGACGGTTCCCACAATCAAGAAACTGAGGGCTTATGCCGAGAGAATAAGAGTTGCAGAACTCGAGAAATGTTTGTCCAAGATGGGTGATAACATTGATAAGAAGACAAGAAAAGCAGTGGATGATCTAAGCCGGGGAATCGTGAACAAACTTCTACACGGTCCAATGCAGCATTTGAGATGTGATGGCAGTGACAGTAGAACTCTGAGTGAAACGCTCGAGAACATGCATGCCCTGAACAGGATGTACGGTCTCGAGACAGATTTGTCGGTATTGGAGGAGAAACTTCGAGCTAAGGTTGGACAGAAGTAGAGTATCTCTTTCAAGTTTCAGTTTCGGATTCAGTTTCAGATTCAAATTCTTCACTTCCACCACGAGGGACCCGAATAAAAGGACAAACTTCTCCTGCTCTTGCTCCTCAGTCGTTGGAGCGGGATCTATCGATTCATTCATTCGCGAGAAAGACGATTCTAATGTTCATTCCGAATCCCTCCTTTGTCAATGTAAGTGTTCCCTATTCATCGGAAAAAGTTGTGAAAGAGATGGTTGTTTCATGTTTCTGGTTTGATAGAGGTTTTCCATTACAACCTTTGTAACTCTTAAGAACTTTGGTACATTTTACAGTATAGAGAATGCATTTTGTCGGCTTATTTATCTCTTTTTGTGTTTGAGTATTACATTTTCTATCGAACATTCTCACAGATGTTTTGGTGTTTTCTTTTTATTTCTAAACTTTTACATGAAGTTTAAGAAAATAAGATGTAATGTTTTTTTTATGTATGCATGCAAATGCGAATCTTGTATTTTTTTTTCTTTCACAATTATTTCTTTGTACCGTTTTAAAAAATTATATTTTATATTTCTAGTCATTAATAACAACAAACGAAAATTAAATAAAAAAATATTTTAAAAAAGAAGAAGAACAAATCGAAGTGGAATCTCACTCGCGAGTTCCCACTTCCCAGATACCGAATCAGCACAGCACACGTGGCTCATTATATTGATTTCCAGGTTTATGGCAAAGTATCCGAGTCTCACAGCTCGGGTACCTGTGACTGTGAGTGGCTGACCGGTCTTGTATCCGTGAAAACTCGCAAATCTTTGTTCATCATCTGGGTGTGATGGTGATACTGTACGAAAATAGACTTAAACCATTTTGCAGGTGGGGACGGCGGCTAAACCCGAACCTGAACTACCTCGTCACGCTCGGCCTCGGGTACTTATGAGACGGGTATTGGGCTTTAATGGTGACATATATCATTTCTGATTCGCTTCGTGGTTGCTTAGAAGTTGTTACTTCAGACAAAAGAAATAGATACGGATCGATAATATTCTGAGTAACATTTGGAATCACTCTATATATTTTAACGGCAAACTCTTCAAACGATCCAATCGGAATTGACCGAGTGATGTAGATGGTTGAGAAGGGCTGAGATGTCCTTGTCAGACATCCCATGTTTGAATGATTATCGGGGAGGAAGTGTGCAATTTAATTGCGGTACAAAAATTGTTTCCAGATCCTGGGAGATGTAATTGGATCGAAAGTTCGGTAAACTTTCGAATTATAAAAAAAAATTCCAAAGTGATGAGAGGATGAAACATTGGATAACAAGTTATTGCTATCAAATTTACATCTCTCATGTATTACATAATACGATATTATTTCAAAGATTTTGATTTACATGGAAAGATCCATTCATTTCTATCGGAGGATATTCAAGAAAATCTTATATATATTGATTTGGAGTGCACGATGGGTTCTTTCTACGTGAATGAGAAACACAGAGAAATGCTCGATTTCTAGGTCTTGTTAGGCATGGGACGAGTCAATTTGGTCATATATTATATAATGTAAAATTTGATTGATAACCGGTCCTCGTGAAATCGTGAGAGAAAATGGCCCTAATCATTTTTTTTTTCAAATTACAAATAAACCTGGATTGATAATTGAGTATAATATTAGTTTCAAAGTATAATTAATGATAAAATCTCTTTAGTGTTCCAATTATATATATTCTCAAAAAATATTAACTGAATTGAATTAATCGATTATGAAAATAACAAAAATTAAACCAAAAAAGAAAATAACAAAAAAATAAACAAACATTGACATTTGTTACAAAACGATCATTTTTCTCTCTCTAAAAACTGAATATGAGTAGAATTCGCGAATCGGCAAAATTGGATAGAAAAATTAGATAGATATAATTTTAATTAAATTGACAAAAAATCCTAAAATTTAAAGATATATCTTTATTACAAAGAAATTTTAGTTTTATTGATAAAATAAGATTAGAGAGATTATGTTAAAAAATGATATTTATGGGGTGTTGGTAACTGAATTGAAATTTGATACGAGAAGTACATATAAAAAAAACGGTGTTGAGGAATTTTTTTCCATGATTTTCCTTTATTTTTAAAATTTACAGCTTAGACAATTTTCAAGGAAAATGCTACATTTTCCAAATTACATGTGCCGTTGAGCCCGTCACACACGAAAGAAGTTTCATTATATTTATTTATTTATTTTCCCACACGAAAGAAAGTCCATATGAATATTAGTTTTTTAATTTCATTTTGTAAAATAGATTGGCCATAAAGTGTATTATAAAGTGTATTTTGTTTTTTTAGAATATAAAATAAAATTCATCTTTTTTTTATAATATAATTTCACCGAATCTTTGACCCGACTAGAGACTCGAATTTGGGTTGAGAAAGAGTTTTAATCCACCCTTTATTAGTCGAGTCATCTGATTTTAAATAAAATTCATCTTGATTTTTGTACAAAAATATATTTCAAAAGTTTATTTTGTAGAATATTTTCAATAATTTATAAAAAAAAAGTGTATTCTAATTTCGATTACGTATCAAAATCATTATAACTATATTCATTTTACTTTCGATTTCCTTATCAATGGTTCTTATCTAATATATTTTGGAGAAACTCTTTAACTAATTATATTATTCTTTTATCATTGCGTCATTTTCATGTTAATTAAGTGTGACCCATCAATTTATTTTTGAACAAAAAAAACTTAAATAACTAAAAGGAACAATATAATAACGAATAAAATATCTGATTGGGAAGAGACACAATAAACAATTCGAGCAGTTTCGTACTCCGACAAACTTCGGTTTGGTCATCGACCGGTGGGAGAATCTCTTTTCATGTAAACTTCCAAACATTACGAGTTAGTTATTGTGGTATGTATATATAGTCAAGTGAATGGCATATATATATCATCAGGATTCATCTATTAAAAAAATGAATCTAGCATATAACTACTATACATTAATCGAATTTGATCTAAAAAACGGATTAAATATAATGTTTTACAATAAAAAAAAAGAACATATACAAAAAATGAATGAAATAATCGAATCAACATAAAAAATTATTTAAAAATTAAATATTTTTAAATTGAATTGAAAATCAATAGAAAAATCTGTGTATTGAAATATAAGTGAATTGAAATATAATTGGCATCCAAAATATCAATCCCAATGTATTATCCACTTAAAAGGCTATATATATACACACACACACATATATATATATATATATATATATATATATATAAGGCTATATATAAATAACTCCCCTGTGTCTTTCTATATCTTATTACCAAAATCTTATAAAACTATCAAAACAATGTCATTTTTGTTCATTTTTTCAAATTCTAATGCGTGGGACAAAGCACCATTGTTTTGAACATTTTAAAATGTTAGGGTGTTTAAATTAAAAAAAAATAACAAAAAACTTTCGTGTTTTCTTCTTTTATTTTTCTTGGCAATTTCCCCTAAATTGGGTCACAAAATAATAACGAAAATAAAACAACAGCTAATTTGTATATTGTATAGCTGGTAACGCAAAAGCGAGATCTTGTACGAAATTACGTGCAATATTCGACTCGCCAAGGACAAATTAACATTCGTTACTTTTATGGTACGGAAAAGGTCAAATCAAAACGTTTGACTTTTCATAATCGTGTTGTTCAAGTTCCATGTGTTGAGGTTTGGGGTTATATAAACGAATATCAAGGCGAACCCAATCCCCCTCATCATTAAACCATCATTTCATTACAACCTCGACATTTAGCTTATTTTCCCGCCATCGCTTTCTTTTTAAAAGGTAAGATTTTTTCAAGAAATTCATTTCGAGAATGAACTATAATATCGTTAGGTTTTATTTGGTTGAAATTCACTAACACTATTATGTTTCATCAGGGCATTTAAATAATTGTTACGGCTAATCTCTGGATTTGAGGTAAATCAAGTTGTTAGTTCAAAGCATTATTTGGTGAGAGAGATTTTTAAATTTTTTTACATTGGCGTCATACATTTCTTTTTTTTTTTAATTTCTATTTTTGTATTTGCAGAAATGGATGCAAGATTCCTGTACCCTCTGCAGAGTTGCAAGATTATCCATTTGGTACGTAATGCATGCATGAGTCATTCGATTTACGTACGATAACTCTGAATATTTTATGAGATAAAACTATCTTTTTCACTCTATAAACCAGAAATTAGTTTGGCAATGAAGAATCGCTTTACATAGATCTAATACGAATGAATGCTTTGTTGAAATGAAGGTGAGGCATGGGCAGGCAATGCACAATGTGGAAGCGGAGAAGGATCGGAATGCATTGTTATCTCCTCACCTTTTCGACCCTCCTCTCACTGATCTCGGCCACGAGCAGGTAAGGAAATAGAGTTTCTTTGTGAATGCATATGAAACAATATCGAGTGATCTTTTAATCTATATATCATTCATATATAATCTAACGATGTTTTTTTTTATGAAAAGCTTGAGAACTTGCGAAAACATGTAGTTGGAAGCGGCCTACTAAAGAGGGTCGAGCTAGTCGTGACCTCGCCCTTGTTTAGGTAAATATAGTTTTTGCATATAAGCCTTCAAGAATAAATAGTATATAGTGATGATCTAAAACATCGATTCTCTGTTTAGGGCTATGCAAACTGCTGTTGGCGTTTTTGGAAGTGAAGATCAATCGCATATCTCTAGTAGCCCTCCGATTTGCGCTCTTGAGCTGGCTCGTGACCGTAATGTATGATTGATATATCAAAATATAGTGTTCATTCAAGTTTATATCAATTCTTCTATTAGAAAATTCATCTTTGGTGTATGTATATAAATCGATATAGGGATTGCGTCCTCCCGATATGAGAAGAAACGTGAGCGAGTCCCAAGCTCTTTTCCCTACCATCGATTTCTCTCTGGTAAGTATCGTTTATACATCTTGTCCCGTAACAAGTATAAACATCAATTGAGTGTCTCAAGAAGTATATCATATGTTTATTGCATCAACCCGTCCATATTTCTCAATCCCTAGAGTTTCTAACCAAGAAACATTTCATTCTTGGATGATATTTGCAGATGGAAAGCGAAGAGGATAACCTTTGGAACCCCGACGTTAGAGAGTCGGAAGAAGAGCTCCTAGCTAGAGGATTAGAGTTCATGAAATGGTAATTAAAACCCTTATTAATATCATACTAAAGCATGTAATATGAATATATATACATACATATTAATTGTAATGAATATACATATTTGTTCAATATTATATGATAGCACTTTTGTTGAACACTTAGGTTGTGGACAAGACCGGAGAAGGAGGTCGTAGTCGTGAGCCATGGAATAATGTTGCAGCATATGCTGTATGTGTTTGCCAATGACTGCCAAGATTCAGTTCGACATGAGTTGTGTAAGAGGTTAGGGCAACGTTTTATTTACCAAAAAAAAAAATAAAAATAAATTGTTACAACATTTCTCGCAAAATCCAAATTTATTTTATGGACTCTACATTTAATTTTTCGACAGGTTTGGTAATTGTGAAATTCGCACGGTCGTAATCGTCGACAAAAGGTTAGTAAAATATGCACCTTCATATTAAATTATAGATCATGGGTTTTCAATTTGACCTATCGATCGAATACATTCTTGAAATTTTTTTCATAATTCTTCACAATATTTATTTTGCAGTCTGAATTCTTCAATGATTCATTGATTCAAGGGAGAGAATCTCAAAGAAACTCTTGATCACAGCTGCTAAACGTCGGAAATATCTTTATTTTTTTTATTTCTTTAAATTCATCATTGTATTTAGAACCTTTTTTTGTATTAATTACCGCCTTTTCCATTTTTATTGTACTTTACATGGAAGTTCATTAATTAATGTATCAAATTTATGATTATCTTAATAAAATTATGCCGCTAGTGGTTGATTTATATTACATTATCATTCTTTTTTTCTTTGTTTTGGTTAGATTTTATTACCGCTTAAATTGTTATGTATCTTGAAAATATTTTAAATATAGACAAATATCTATTGGGTATAAATTAGTATGTAAATTATTAATTATAAATATTCACTTTTTTAAGAAAACTATAATAACATATATTATTCTTTTTTCAATTATTACTTTTTCTATATGGTTCGGAAAATATTTCATTTCAATGAAATCGAATCAAACATCAAACCGTAATACAAAAATTCAAATCCGATCATAACTCCATAATTATCTAAAGAAAAAAAAAATTCAAATCGAATTAAATGATCGGTTAGTTCATATTCATTTTTATTTCTCCTAAAGCTCAATAACCGGTCGATGAAACCCAGACCGAACCGAAATCACCGACTGGTTTGGTCTGGATTGGACCGAGTCTTTACGTGTAGATTGACTTGAACCAAGTTTGACCCCCCAAAACGTACGGCAAACTTACATATCCTATGACCAATGTTGACTTTTTTTTTGATAAAATAAGACCAATGTTGACTTGTCAAATTATAAATTTGAAAAAATTATAGATTTATTTTTTATAATATGAAAATATCATTTTTATTAATGATAAACAATACTTGGAGACACACGTATATTAGATAACAAAATGAGGCACGTGCCAGGATGATTTTATTAATTTTAATATACAATATTTTAAAAAATATATTATTTGGATTTACAAAAAAAAACAAATAACGCAAATAAAAATTCCAAAAAAGAAAGGCTAATTTATCAAAGTTTCACAGCGCCGTACCAAACGAGTTTTTATTCATAAGTAAACGGAGAATAATATATACATGATTAGGTCATTTTGGGGACACATTGTCGTACGTGAATCGTTGTAGTTGGAGACTTGACTCACTAATTTTTGCCCCATTTTGTTTACGAAGTCTAAAAGAACAACCACCGAGTTGACTCACCAACTTGTCTTGAAATTGTATATTTTTTGTCTGTCACCTAATATTCCAAAAAAAACACAGCTTATTAAGAAAAATCTCTATCATTATCGTATAAGGCAGAGAGACGATGCTTCTATGCCGTTTCCAGGAACCTGAATAGATCGATCCAGGCAGATCATTACATGCATACGTATTATACTGTATAGTTACATATACATATATATATATACACATGATTATCTATATATTATGTAACTCTAGAAGACTATACTATATATAAGTTTTTTTGTGTTTTAAATGCATTTGTGAGGAGGCAATACACGAGAATGGACATCTATGGAGCCCAAATGTTGCCTCCTTCATTGTCTAAACTTTATTTGGTACATCGTTGAATCCATTTCATTCGCACCGGTTGATGAATCGCATTAATTGCTTTTGTAATCGTTCCAAGATTTTGAACGGCTGAACTTAATAATGGTTTGCATGAAATGAAATGCAGTTGAGGCATGCTCAGGGGATTCACAACGTCGAGTTAGAAGAGAAAAGAGAGACTGCTTTGTCGCCTAAGCTCTTCGATGCCGAGCTCTCTCCAAAGGGTCTGCAACAGGTGATGGCGATAAACAATTTTTTTTATGACGTGGAAACCCGTAGCCATTACCATTCGGGCGCACACAGGGTGAACTTTCGCTCTCGTGTAATGGTATATAAACCGAACGAGAGATGTAGTTTAAGATCGTCTATTACTGATAAATTCATAAACGAAGAGACTCCAACATTGATTTATATGGGTTTCTCTCGTGATAAACAAATTTGTTATTATTCTGAATATTTTGTTTAATTTGTTTTATCTTAGGCGTCATTGAGTACATAATAATTTCGTTATTCAGGCAGACTATCTAACAAAACATTGCATATATAGGTTTTGATTATACATATAACAGTACTATGTATTGTCACCTAGTGTTTGTAACTATTCTACAAATAACCATATAATATTATCGTATATGAAATATATATACAGAATATATATCACTCTTCTATGCTTTCATTGACGATCTTGATACTTTCAGGTGAAGGAACTGCGTAAACGGATCCATGAGTCGGGATTGCTCGATAAGATCGAGCTAGTGATTACCTCGCCGCTTCAAAGGTATATACATACCGTATGTATACGTACATTTATTTTCTTGGGAATGATCTTTATTAATTTTTATATTATTTTCAAAAGTGTATCTATATATAGAATCAGCGAATGCCTTTCTTCAAACCTTTATTTCTTATCAAATAACTTCAGAAGCAAACCTCTCTATATCTTTCGAGGTTAAGACATGTGATAAGAACTTGTCGGAAGATCTAATATAGATTAGGTTTTGGTTTTTTTTTTCATAGATTAGGTTTTCAATCTTTCTTTTTGGTTGAATGGGTTCCAAATCGATGAAAATATTTTTTTTTTCTTTTTTCTTTTTCTTTTCATTTTTCATATTCTAAAAGTCGAAACCTAATGAATTGGGTAGATCAATAGTTTGGTATAGACATTTCATCAACTTTCAATGTCTCTATATACCTAACAAGAATTGCTTGGTTAATACTATTTGGCATGAAAATCTTTTTTTGAAAAACAATGCAGGACGATGCAAACGGCCATGGGAGTTTTTGGGAAAGACAGTGGAAAGCATGCGGATGAGGTTCGAAGAGAAACGTCTACTGCACAACATTCCACCGTCATATTCCCTCCTATTATGGCTCTTGAACTTTGCAGAGAACGCATGGTAATTAAGCCTTGCCCTTTTTTTTTCTTCTCAATATTAAATCTCGTTTAATGAAAAAAACCCGAATTCGAGATTAAATCAGATTACAACCTCTTCTCTTTAGAAAATGAATATTTTTATTGCCAAAAAAATAAAAAAATGTTGAAACAAAAAATAATATAACCTAAACCGAATTACTTAACCCTTCTTAGTTCCAAGGAAACATATCTTATTGGTTCTTGGTTGGAAAATAACGATTCTATATACAGACGATACACATTATGTTTAATATAACTTAAAATTACAATTTTCAGGGGCTCTATCCGTGCGATAGAAGAAAAGGCATAGGCGAATACATGGACCGTTTCCCGGAAATCGATTTTTCGATGGTAAAATGCAAACTTTCACAATTCTTTAGTATATATATATTATACTAAAGAATTGTGTTTTGTGTATATATTATCAGATAGAGAATGAGGAGGATGTTTCATGGCAATCGGAGAAACGGGAAGATTTGGTGGAGGTTGCTGCTAGGGGATTACAATTCTTGAAATGGTGAACTCTCATCATTCACCCAAATTATAATTTTTAATCTTTAATCTTATAAATATAAAAAGTTTAAATTTTAAAGCGCGAATGATTCTTTTGGACTGACATTTCCGTTTTCAAATCTATTTTATATCGATCGGTTTTCATTTATATTGAAATTCAAATCTCGTTTTAAAGAAAATAGTATTTGTAATTGTTTTTTCGACTACTTTTGTATTCAACATAAATTTGTTTAATTTGGTTTTAAAAAATCCCTACCGGTTGGGTTATAAATTTAAATCGGTTTGATTTTCTTATACCCGAACCAGAATTTGGAATTAAGTTTTTTATTTTTGAATTTTATAAAATATATTAAAAACCCAGGGTGTTGGAGCGACCAGAAAAGGAAATAGCGATCGTTAGCCATGGGATTTTCTTGCAACAAACACTTCATGCATTCCGAAATAAACACGGCATACCCTTTGAGGATAAACTCCTAACAAGGTGACTTATCATCAATAAATTCAATCCAATTTTATCCCATTATTTTTTTAAAAAAAATATATATATATATTTTCTTTAATGATGACCATTTCCAATTTTGTTTAGGTTTGCTAACTGCGAGCTTCGTTCTATTGAAATCGACAAGATACGGTAAATTCAAACATCGATTATTAATTAACGTTTTATTTATTTAATTAAATTCCGAAATAATTTAAATGATCCGAATAAAATATTTAATTAATTACTCGGTAATCCTAAAACGCATAATTCTTATTCGTAACGTGCATGCAGAGTTATGGAGGCGGCGGATTCATTAGCCATCACCAGTTGTAGAAACTTCATCAATCCATCCTCCAACTCTCCTTCACCGTCATCCATAGAGGCCTTTCTAAATTAAGACTTCGTTATATACATAGATATATATGTATATGTGTGAATCCATTTCCCGGTTAAGTGTGAAAATTCAGACACCAAACAAACCCTTTGGTCATGTGGTCACATCTATGCATAGTTCTGTTGTTTATGTATCAATGTATCTCAAATAATAAAGCTCTGCCTTTCAGTTTCAATTCCCGAATGTTTTATGTAGGGGTGGGTATTTCGGGTTCCCGTTCCGTATTTATCCAGTTATTATATCATTCGGTTAGATTTTGGTTTGGTTCTATTTTTTTAAAGTTAATTTTGATTTTTAATATTCGGTTTGATTTTGGTTCGATTTATAGTTTATAAAATAAAAATGTTCGAGATTGGTTAATTGTTCTACACATTTATTTTTCGGTTCGTTACGGATTGATTCTTATTCAAACCGAATTATAAATTTATATATTAAATCTTTGTTATAAAGCGTGAAAATTTTGAACAGAAAAACAAACGATTTAACGCGAACGAATAACATTGGATTTTTAAAAAAAATTGAAATTTATATAAAATCCGTATGTAATAGAATAAAAAAACGCGAAAAAATATATTGGAAAGTGAAATATCTATCCATGTTTGGATTTTATTCCCGTTACAGGTTAAATGATATAATGATAGATTTTTGTGAAAAATGAAATAGACTAGGTCAGGCCACAACTGGGTTTTGGAGGATTCAAAGGGCAAGGCCCACTAATGGACACGTGTTACATGCGTGGAGCAATTTTTATTTTTTTATTTTTTTAATAAGAGAGTGTTCGAACGATGGATTTGGACAGACAACGAAATACTACTAGCCATTAATCCCGAGTTGGTTTCAACTAAATTTAATTCAGGCTCTCTATTTTTTTTTTAATTAATTCCGCATCTGAAAAATCTGGGAAAATTAAGGAAACTCGTGAAACGAAATCAAAGCTCCGTGTTTGATTCATATTTCTGCCAAATTTTCTTCCCCAGGATCAGATCTCTTGCTCGCTCGATTGTTTCCTTCCCGTCCGATCTGTGATTTTTTTTTTAAAAATCTGATTTTGATAAAGTTCGCTGTTTGTTCGGTTGCCGATGTCGACTGCGACCGGAGAGATCACCATCGTCTGCAGCCACTGGTAAAAATTCCACGAAATTAACTTAGTTTTTTAGTTTGATTCTGTAATTTGATTGAATTCGATGTCCGGACACGACAGGGTGATCGGTTGTCGGCCGAGTCTCTCCTTCTGTCGGTCGTAGATCGGTGACGAGTTACGAAAAATTTCGAGGAATTGATAGAATTTTTCTGGGTCTTTAGTTCGGAATTTCTTGGTTGGATTCGATTTTGTGGGTTTTCTGATTCAGTTTAGTTTCACACTCGTAGATGCAAGTGAAGGTCAGTCTAGATTTGTCGATGGAAACAGTATAGTTAGGGATTGGGTTTAGGCTGTCTCTTTTTCTAGTCGATTGTCTGTTTGGTGATGAGTGATGGTGAATCTGAACTCGCTCAGGGAAATCGAGAGATCTTTTCTGGTTAATTGAATGCATAAACTATCGTATCCCTTGGATCCGATTTTATGATATTGTTGGTTGAATTGCTGCTTGTGAGTTGTGATTCAGTTTCGGTATCACACTTTCTGAATGTTGGTTTATAGATTGATCCATGGTGCTGGAATTTTAGGTGATACCATGAGAACTTCTGTTAGATAGAATGGATGAATCCTTATCGGTATCGATCAGTGATCGAAGTTGCTTCAACAAGTGTAATAACGTTAATCTTTTTTCCAGTGATAGAGATATTCCATCAGCAAATATCGATTTGCATCAAGTGCATTGTGCTCGGAATCTCGAAAAATGCAAGATTTGTGGCGATATGATTCCGAAAAGGCATGCTGACGAACATTTCTCCAACACACATGCCCCGGTACGCTAATTTTCGAACTTCTTGCTGTTCATATTGAAGCTTTTTTCATTTGGTATATTACTAATTCCAATCATCTTTGCTTAGTGAGCTCGGTAAAAGAGTTCATACTTTTCCGAGGTTGAGCTCTGGATATGGCGATGAGATAAGTTTGCAGATGTTTCTGTGATGATGATGATGATGATGAGATATGTTTGCAGATTTTTCTATGATGATGAGATAGGTTTTCTACTTGAACAATGTTAAACAAACCCGTGAGGCGGTTGCATTTGATGACTTGGGTTACTATTAATTTCTCATCCAGATACCGATCAAATACAGTTAGCCAAGTTTTTTCATAGAACTTGTTTCCATATTGGAGTTTTGTCATATGATCAAAGTGGTCTAAGATAACTAATTAGGAATATCGGGTTTATGCCTCAACTTACATACGGTCTATAGATATTTGAAATCGGGTTTTAACTGCTACCTACTGTATTGTATGGTTTGCATTTTTGAAGGTAGAGTGCACGCTGTGCAATGAGACAATAGACCGTGAGGTTCTTGCCGTTCATAAAGGTGAAAAGTGCCCACAGAGGATCGTGACATGCGAGTTTTGCGAGTTTCCGTTGCCTGCCCTTGACTTAGCCGAGCATCAGGTAGGTACCCGTCTAACTCAAAATTCATCGGGTTTTCACTTCTTTTTTTAATCTGATGAATCTTTCTGCTTTCTGATTTTAGGAAGTATGTGGTAACCGGACCGAGCTCTGCTATCAGTGCAATAGCTATGTTAGATTGAGAGAAAGTTATAACCATGAAACTAGATGTCCCGGCATCGTGCACAACAATGTTGAATCGTCCAGGTATTGTGAATCGCCTTCGATTTCCGATATTTTCTTTCATTCTTTTCCAAAAGCTTCAAAAGGGTTGCGAAGTTACATGACTTACCGACCTATTAGTGCCTTTCTTGGTCTCGTTCCGACACTCGTAATGGAGGGAAACTACTTTTGTTCCATTACCTTAGTATCCAATGCGTCGTGCTGTATACCTTTAGCTTCCTTTAGCTGTGTCTGGTAATGGAATATTGTCTTTTTTTCTCTGGTCAGAAGGAACGGGAGAGCAACGGGAGGAGAGGGGAACGGGAGGAGAAGAAACGGGAATGAAGTCTCTCAAAGGCGGATTCTCTTCACGATAGCGATAACGGGAATAGCCGTTCTTCTTGGATCGCTCTTCTTTCAGAGGAAATCGGCCGTGAGCCAGGTAGAGTAGAAGGAAGAACTTCACTCTCTCTGATGTCTGTGTGTTCCTGTATATCTCGTGAACGAAAACCTGTCTCTGCAAAAGATTTGTTCTTCAGATTACTTGCCATTTCACATCATCTCATTGTAGGTAATGAAATTTCGACTATTGTCATTGTTATTGTTTTTGAAATAGACCAAAAAAAAGACAGAAAAGGGGGGAAAGCAGAGGATTAGGGTTTTGAAAACAGTGGAGACGCCATGGAAAAAACCGCAGGAAGAAGATGGGATAGAGCAACGTCGGAACAACCTCTGATCTCACCCCATCTCCGAGACGAGAGTTTAGGGTTTAAGGTTTAGAAGTGAAGACTAGCATCTCAATTCACTATTCGGGTTTCTCCAAATATTTCATATCCCAATTTTCCATTCGGCCGTGAACCACAGCCGACGGAGCAACACAAGAACGGGATTTTCGGGTATACGATCCGAACGGAGGATGAATATAAAGTATTGCAAGTAACGAATCACATCGAAGAGATTCGGATTTTCACACTGGGAAATCGAGAATGGAGATGTGAAAACCGAGAATGGAGAAGAATCGAATGCGTGGTTTTGCGTTGGATACCCGGCCTTCACGAGGTCAAGAACGGGTAGGTTGATCAAGAAACCCGAGGGAGATCGAATATATCGGAAAATTCGGGTACCTAGAAACAATAACAATATCTTTTTTTCTTCTGGAAAATTTGGAAAGGTAATGAAATGTTCTACAGTCGATTGCTAGAACCCAAACTCATACTACATCTTGACTGCGACTTGCTCTGCGGAGCTTCTCTTCATAAGCCCCTTTCTGCACAGCTCATTCAGCAGCTCCAGAGCCTCTTTCGCGAAACCCTCGTACGCGATTCCTTCTATCAGAATCGTATATGTCGCCTCGTTCGGTTTACACCCCCGTTCTATCATGTAGCCCAAGAATTCGATCGCGTTGTCCGTCCTTCGTTTCTTGCACAGTCCCAACATTATAGAGTTGAATGTTATTGCATTCGCCTTGACACCCATCTGCTCAAACTCGTGGAACAGCTTGATCGCCTCGTCCACCTTCCCTTCTCTGCTCAATCCTCCAACAAGCGACGAATACGTTATCGTATCGGGTTTTAGACCTTTCCCACGCATCGCGTCGAGCAGTTTCATCGCTTTTTCGGTTTTCCCGGCTTTTGCCAGCCCGTCAATGACGGTATTGTAAGTTATCAGGACCGGAGAACATCCTTTGCTGCTCAGCTGATTGAGAATCTCGACCGCAATGTCGACTTTCCCATCTTTGCACAAAGCTGTAAGCAAAGTGTTGTATGTAACTATATCGGGGTAACAGCCACGAGACACCATTAGTTCAAGATACTCGATGGCCCGATCCATCTTTTTCTCCTTGCAGAACCCGTGAAGCAACGGGTTGTAGCTTAAGGAATTCGGGTAACACCCGTGTTCGGGCATTTTCTCCAAGATGTCAATGGCTCGACCGAGCAAACCCTTTCTGCACAAGAAATTGATCAAGATATTGAAAGTGACGACACTCGGTGAACAGCCCTTTCGAAGCATATCGGCAAGAAGCTTCTCTGCATCGATCCATCTCCCGGTACTGCACATGCTCCGCAGTATAATGTTGTGTGTGATCACATTAGGCTGGCACCCGAAAGACGGCATTGTGTTCAAGAACTCTATCGCCTCGTCAATTCTCCCCTCTTTACAGATACCATTCACGAGAACATTATAAGTCACGACATCGGGATTACACCCTCGATTCCTCATTTCATCCAGAAGCTTCATCGCTTGCCCGACCCCGCTTTCCTTGCAGGTAGCTTCGATCAATATGGTGTAAGTGATCACGTCCGGATAGCATCCTCTCTGCAACTGCCTGTCAAGAACTTCCATGGCTTCCTTTAGTTTCCCGCTGTCGCACAAAGAACGAAGAATCGTGTTGTAAGTGACAACATCAGGAGAAACACTCATCCTGTCGAGAACAGACAAGGCGTTATCCATCTCCCCTGCTCTGCAGTACCCGCTTATCATAACATTGTATGTAATAACATCAGGCACAGCTCCAGAGCCTTCGAGAATCTCCAAGATCTTGGCAGCTTTTCTCGTCTTGCCCATTCGACAAAACCCTCGGATCAAGCTAGTGCACGGAATGATGTCTGGAACGTTGCCGTGATAAACCATGTTCTCCATGAACTTAAACCCTTCATCTAACTCACCGTTCCTAACCAGCCGCCGCAAATGGTTATTGCTTTCGACATCCTCAGCTACAAGAGAAGAGTTTAGAGAATTTGTGTGGCCGTTACTGTTGTTATGCCCAGAGATCGATTTCTGAAACTTTTGAGCTTTGCCGTTCAGACCAAAACTCTCAACCCTGGAAACGGCGAAGACAAGAACATTCCTGGTCTTTTTCCTTGACCCTTGTGGAATCTTAACCCTATTGCCACTTCCCCTACCTAAGACGATAACTAGACCACCACTTCTGCTGCAATCCCGATGAAATTGATGAAACGAGCAAAACCCTTCTTGTGCAGTGCTTGGGGACACCATCAAATCCATAGAAACAAAATAAAAAAAAGTGGTCTTTATGAAGAAAAAACAAGAACTGATCTTACCCAGAAGGACAGAATCACGCTTATCCTCGTCTAGTATCTGTTGTTCGGTGTCTGTGTTCTTTGAACTCCTGTTTTTTTAAGGCACCGAGACATGGAAATTATCTTACAGAGAAGACGACAAAGGGGCAGAGAGAGAGAGAGAGAGAGAGAGAGAGAGGATATTGCAATATTTCGTGGATCGCTTTGTGGAATTGGGCCTGAGCCTTCAACGATGGGTCATTGTTCGATTCCCCATCGATATGTGTAGTTACTCTAAAATTAGGGTGTCGAAATGAAATGAATATAGATTCTAATCCGAGCATTATGCGGATTATTATTTTAAATAATGTTCATTTTCTTAGACCTATTATTTCTACCAATTTTATAAAATGGGAAATTGATTCTTTATAGGGAAAATGGAAGCAATTTAAAAAATGAACGAAAAATTATAAGTTGGAAACAATATTAAAAAAAAGTGGACAAGTATAGAAAATATAAAAGATACGGAAAAGATGGAAAGGTAATATTGCAGAAAACAGAAATAATAGTTTTCAAGAAAAATAATAGGACAAAAAATAAATTTATTTTTTTATTTGAGACATAATATATATTTGAAATTTGGAATTCTTACAAACGATTCTTTGTTTAAAATATAATTCCATATTAAAAAATTCTATTCAAATTAAATTATCAAAACAAGTATTAAAATAAAAACTTCATACATGACACATATCGCCATTGACGGATTGCTGATGTCATGTTTTAAATTTAAATTGATAACGTGTATAAGGTGACATCAGCAATCCGTTACTACGTGGATTTCCGATCGCCTGAAATTGTAGTCAAACCAGTCAAAGGTTTATTAGAGTAATAATTTGCAAGTTCGAGGTTTTATTGATCAGTGACAAGTTACAAGTTCGGGGATTGAATGATAGTTTTTTAAGTTGAAGGTTTATTTGTATATATTTTAGCAAATTGGAGGTTTGTCAGGGGTTTTACCCTAATAATAATATAGAAAAAGAAGTACTAACAAGAATTCGAAAAGTAACAAGAAATAAAACAGAGAAAAAAAGGAAAACCTAAATATATTTATCGTATGAATGATATAATAATTTTATTCGAATGGATTATAAAAATGTTCATAACAAATTCGCACACAAAAGGAATTGCAAGCATTTTTTTGGGAAAAAAAACTGTCACCAAACATTTTTTTAATCTTTCTTTTTCTCCAAACGGAAATGTTGACGACAAAGTCAAGAGAGCTTCCACTTGCGATTCTTTATCTAGAGTCTAAGCCAACTAATTTATACACACACATATATACATGCACATGTATATATACACGCATAGATACTATAGATACATACACATTGTATGAACACATACATCGAAAATCATTGTCTGAAGAAGCTTTTTTGATTCTCCCGAGTTCTTACAATGTCGTCTCTCAAATATATATTTTTGCAAATTGGAGGTTTGTCAGGGGTTTTACCCTAATAATAATATAGAAAAAGAAGTACTAACAAGAATTCGAAAAGTAACAAGAAATAAAACAGAGAAAAAAAGGAAAACCTAAATATATTTATCGTATGAATGATATAATAATTTTATTCGAATGGATTATAAAAATGTTCATAACAAATTCGCACACAAAAGGAATTGCAAGCATTTTTTTGGGAAAAAAAACTGTCACCAAACATTTTTTTAATCTTTCTTTTTCTCCAAACGGAAATGTTGACGACAAAGTCAAGAGAGCTTCCACTTGCGATTCTTTATCTAGAGTCTAAGCCAACTAATTTATACACACACATATATACATGCACATGTATATATACACGCATAGATACTATAGATACATACACATTGTATGAACACATACATCGAAAATCATTGTCTGAAGAAGCTTTTTTGATTCTCCCGAGTTCTTACAATGTCGTCTCTCAAACTCCAGTTGCAAGTTAAGGACAATCATGTAAGCAACGTTTTCTCACATGTGATCTTGTTAGCAGAATCTGATGAACTGGAAAGTTGATCTTCTGATGAACGTTTCTTGTTCAGGTCACGATGAACAACGGAATTCTACAGGTTACGTTATCGAAACCCGACGGAATTGTCACCGGAATCCAGTACAATGGCCTCGATAACTTGCTCGAGGTTCGTAACGAAGAATCCAACAGAGGGTATGCGATATTAGAGTTTTTTTTCAACTGTTCTTATTATGAGTTTGTAGAGTTTTTAACAAAGTACAGATCATTCAATCAAGATTGAGAAATATTCTCAACCGAAACGATCATTATAAACGGGTGAAATCGTTATATACTGTCTTGAAACCGTGATGAGCAGATATTGGGACCTGGTATGGAGTGGATCAGGAACTACAGGTGCTTTCGATGTGTAAGTGGTTTTTCGGCACGTTCTACTACCCGAGCTTCAACAACTTCGCCCGGCTCTTAGTTTGATATCTTGTTTGTGGCGCATCTCGGAAATAGGATACGAGGAACAAGCTTCAAAGTAATAGTCGAGAAGGAAGAACAGATCGAGCTTTCGTTCACACGAACTTGGGATCCATCACAAGAAGGAAAAGCTGTACCTTTGAACATTGACAAAAGGTCCTTCCTTTCTTATTTTCCTTAAATTAAACTCTTCGTATTTCATCGAACATGACAAGAAAGTATCCGTTCTCGGATGTTATATATATCGGATAGATTTGTGATGCTTCGAGGTTCGTCGGGGTTCTACACATACGCAATCTACGAGCATTCCGAGCAGTGGCCTGCTTTCAGCATGGCAGAAACCCGGATTGCCTTCAAGCTCAGAAAAGACAAGTAATAAATTAACCAACAATTATACTATGGAATTCTTTATAATCATTCCGAGGAAAATGATTTTGGATTATATTGGTTTTGTACAAAATGTGGATTGAGAAGGTTCCATTACATGGCCATTGCCGATAATAGACAAAGGTTCATGCCTTTGCCTGATGACCGCTTACAAGACAGAGGCCAAGCTTTGGCTTACCCTGAAGCTGTTCTACTTGTTAACCCTATCGAACCCGAGTTCACCGGGGAGGTATTCATATATATATATATATATTCATAATATTTACCTCTTATTTTATACATATATATTATATATATGTGTATATAGCTCTACTAATAGGGAGAAAACCATCATAGCCTAAACTATGAAACATACTTAGGCTTTTCTTGCTCTTGCATTGAAAAAACGGCTAAGAATTCTTAATGTTTTCCAGTTTAGTTTTCGCTATATAATCGATTCTTTCTATCGTTTTGATGCGGGTTCGGATGCAAGGTGGACGATAAGTACCAATACTCATGCGAAAACAAAGACATTCTCGTCCATGGATGGATATCTACCGAGCAGCCGCTGGTCGGGTTTTGGCTCATCACTCCGAGTCAAGAGTTCCGAACCGGAGGCCCTCACAAACAGAACTTGACATCCCACGTCGGACCCACCTCTCTTGCCGTAAGCCCTCTCGGCTCCCTAACCATTTTGGTCTAAACCATAAACCATTGATTGTACGGTCCGAAAAATTGTATCCTTTCCTTATATATATAGGAATGTTTTCAGACCCTTTTAAAGATTGGTTCTTTTTTTTTAACCATATCTACTTGTTTCATTTGGTTAATCGGTTTCTTTTGGATAGTAACCATATGAATTCGGTTTGCGCTTTCTTTGAGCCCTCGAGATGACAAGAAGATCAAGAAAACGTCGTTTTTGGATTCTTGAAACAGGTATTCTCAAGTGCACATTATTCGGGAGACGATCTCGTGCCAAAGTTCGGTGTCGGAGAACAATGGAAGAAAGTTTTTGGGCCGGTTTTCATCTACTTGAACTCTTCTACAGATGATGATGATGATCCTCTATGGCTATGGGATGATGCTAAATCTCAGGTTACACATCTTAATACATACAATCAGATCATCATCATTGATTAATCTCAACAATTTTTCAATTCGAGATCATTAGAATTTGAATGTTGGAATCCGATTATTTTCGCAGACCGTTGCGGAAGTTGAGAGTTGGCCGTACGATTTCCCGGCTTCGGAGGATTTTGTGAAAGCCGACCAACGTGGTAATGTCGTTGGTAGACTGCTTGTTCGAGACAGGTAAATTAGCACACATCGCCACTCTTTTTATTTTTTATTTTCAAATAAATGCTATATCATTTTAAAACTTCTTTCTATTGTACCACTTGACAATTTTAAATTCTCTTATTTTTTCCAATTTTTTTTCTTGGTTTCTTGTTTATCCCTAATCCTAAACCTAAAGTTAAATAATAAAATATTCTCTAAACCTTAAAGCATAAACCACAAAATACAAATCCTAGAGTTTAGAATTTAAAATCTGTGGTTTTCTGTTTTAGGGTTGGTTTATAGTTTAGAGTTTAGAGTTTATTAGATGTTAGGGTTTAGGTTTAAAATTTAAAGATTAGGGTCTAGGGTTTACAAGTTATATAGTTTAGGGTTTAGAGTTAGGAGTAAATTAGGTATAGTAAAATGAGAAGAATAAAGAAAAAAAATCAAATGAATCGATGAGTGGTCTAATAAGATAACTAGAAGAATTTTTAGGAGAAAATTTTAATGAAGTGAAGATATAACATTACTCACTTTTTTTTTTCTGCATCCAACGAAGAACTGTTGGGTTAATTTCGTATTATATTTACTACAATATTCCTTATTTTTATTAAAACTAACCTTCTATTTATGATAATAAAAAAAAGTTTCTATTATCGTTACCGTATTTGAGAAACAATTTGGAAAATCGATATAAAACAAGTATTATTTTTGAATATTCATGTGAATTATTTACATATATTTCAGATACTTAGAGGAAGGTTTAATTCCAGCAAATAGAGGTTATGTCGGGTTGGCTCCACCTGGGGCTCCTGGTTCATGGCAAAGGGAATGCAAGGTTATTTTATTTTGTTTTTGTTAGCTAATCATTTTGTTTTTCTACCCTAAAACAGAAACAAATAATACGGTATTAAATTCGATCCAAAAATTAAATAACTTAAAAAATCAATAAATATTTTTTCCATAGAAATCTAAATTTAAGTGAAACGAAGCATGTTAAGAATATATAAAATTTTGAAAAGAAAAAAAACCGAAAATGAAAATCCGGAATTTCGTTTGGAATTTTTTTTTTCAGGAATACCAATTTTGGACAACGTCGGACGAAGAAGGGTTCTTCTACATAAGTGGAATACGACCTGGTCAATATAACCTCTATGCATGGGTTCCCGGTTTCATCGGAGACTTCAAGTACGAGGAGATTATCACCATAACCCCAGGTCATTTGTTATTATTAATTTTTTATTATTATTATTATTATTATTATTATTATAGTTTGATTTGACATTACAAAAAAACAGTGAATGTAAATATTTGCAGGATGTTATATATACGTGGAAGACGTTGTTTACCAGCCTCCGAGAAATGGACCGACATTATGGGAGATTGGCATCCCCGATCGGTCTGCCGCTGAATTTTATGTACCTGATCCCAGCCCCAAATACATTAACAGACTCTACGTTAATCATCCCGACAGGTCTCACATTCACACACACACACACACACACACTATATATATATATATATATATATATATATATACACTTATGTTGTGTTTATATAATTCTTTGGTACAAATATATAGAAAATATATTAACTCATTTAAAGTGGATTTATAGGTTTAGGCAATACGGATTATGGGAAAGGTATTCGGAAATGTACCCAGACGGGGATTTGGTCTACACGATTGGCACCAGCGACTATGGAAGAGACTGGTTCTTTGCCCAAGTCACCAGGTTCTTCTCTTCCATCCGATTTTTTTTTTTTTTTTTTTTTTAGACACACAAATATAGATATATATATATAATATCCTGAAAAAAAAATGACTATCAATGTATATGACTATCGAATCTCTCCCTCAGACTTGAACTGAACACCGTCTCGGTGTTAGCTCACCCTGTGGTTAAAA